CAAAGCCCCAGAATATGGCCGATTGACACAACATTTTGTAGTACGTTCTGAAGTTCGTGTAACCTATGGTGTAGAAAGTTTCCCTGAAATCTGTTCAGGTTTAGATATAGCTCCCATATGCATATATTTTTGTCCGATTTTAAGTAAATGATGCACCAAAGATCCAAAATATGACATACTGGCACAAATTTTGCCACAACGTACTGAAGTTAGAATATCCTACGTAGTTGAGTTTTGCTGAAATCGGTTCCGATTTAGATGTAGCTCTCATATATAGTTTCGTCCGATTTGCAGTTAATGGTGCACCAAAGACCCAAATATGGCCGATTGGCACAACATTTTACACAAAATAGGTTAACCCGGTAAAAAGTTCTAATGTATATGCCATTTGAGTCGGTTCACATTTAGATAAAGATCACATATTTTAGTTCATCCAATTTCATAGTAATCAAAAATGCGACGTCTATTAGGATGCCTCTGTTGAATATACCCAAAGTGGTGAAGGATTTCATAAAGTCGGCCCCGTCCGACTTCACTACTTTCCTTACAGTTTTTTTAGCAATTGTTATTTACAAAAATCAGTAACATATAAATTAATATAAACTTACATAATAAAACAATATATTTTTTTTCGAGCTTGAGGTCTTTTTTACTTTTCACGATCAATATTTCGCAATTGTTTTAAATTGCATCTTCAGGATAATCTACAAAAAATTTTGAAATTAATGACATTAATTATACAGAATGAAGTGACAAAATCGCTTACAAATAAACTAGTGTCAAGTTTACTTAAAACTATGAAAAAATATATTGTTTTATTATATAAGAATCAAAAGGTCGCACAAAACAACACAGAACAAAATAAACTTACATATTTTTTACATGTGATCTTAAAATTAATTCGAACAGATTGATGTTGACTGCAAACAGGGCCTGATTTTTTTATTGAACACATTATAAGTCTTTCAAAATGTTTAAAATGTAAAAACACTCGCGCTGCGTATTTGTATTCAACGATTTAAAAAAAGCGGACGTACGATTTTTTTATTGTTATCAAACCAATGCGAAAAAATTCTCATTTAAGCGACACCAAAATTTGTGTCGATTAGAAAACTTATACACTTTTTAATAAACATTTTACATAATTTCTACATAGCCGACTGTTTGAAAATAACTTGAGGAAGTTGAGTTACGGAAGAAGTGCGTAACATAACCAAATGGTGGTAATAAATTTAGTGATTTGATTTCTATGAATTTTTCCTCCTTAATTGTCACATTTATATCGTGATATTACAATAGGACTACATGAACCAAAATTGTTTTTTTTTTATTGAAATATCCAAACAAATGCATTTCTTCAATTCAAAGGCTCTATTCGAAAACACAAACAAAAATACAACGGCCGAAGCGCGTAATATGGCAACAATAGATTCTGATTGGATGCTCACCAACTCTCTTTGCATTTGATCATTTTTGGCACTTGTCTCACAAAATAAACGAATTTACATGACAGATATTTTCGTTCTTTTTTAATAAACTGTTACACCAACTCTTATTGAATTTCTCTTGGTATAAACACCAACAACATACTTCTTTCTATGCATTGTTTGAGAGATCACATTTTAATACAAGAACAACAACTCACATGCATGCAATTTTCTTCCTCTTCTTATATATGCGTTAGAAGCACATAGAGAGTAACGTAAAGACAACAACAATTCCTATTTCATTGTGAGACAAATACCGAACTGAAAACACTTAAATGTTTAATTTATTGTGTTAAATTATTAATATTATAATATTTTATATATATTTATAGTATTTTAGCGAATTATTTATGTTAATTTAAACCGTTTTATTCGAGGATTAGAATTTGCGACTGGCCGGTATTAAAATTAACGTCAACTGAAAGAAGACGCGAAATGACGCAAAACAGTGTTGCCAATTAAATCGAAAATATAAGAGATTGTTGTAAAAACGCCAAATCGACCAGATATGCAAAAAAGTAACGAATTTCATTATCGATGTTGGACATTTATTTTTCAGAATAAAACCAGTAAGGAGCCGACTATATGATACCCTTCACCACTTTGGGAACATACAATATATGGTAATGTAGATATAAAGAAAGACCATTGGAATGGAATCGGCAAAAAAATGCGGTTTACATAGATATTCAAACTAATAAAAAACGATACACATACCATTCTGAAATCTATGAACATTTTCACGTCAGTCGGGCAAATATTGGGAGTTTGGTGCACCATTTACCTAAAATCGGATGAAACTATATATGGGAGCTATATCTAAATCTGAAACGATTTCAACAAAACTTCAAAGACATTAAACTGGCCTGATTTCAGTACGATGTGCAAAATGTTGTCTGAATCGGACAAATATTTGGAGTTTGTTGCACTTTTTACACAAAATCGGGCGAAAAATATAAATGGGATATCTAAATCTGAATTGATTTTCTGCAATTCCATAGGTTTCGTCCTTACTTCAAATAAGTGACTTATACCAAATTTCATCCAAATCGGATCATAAATGCGACCTGTACTTTGTTTACAATTTAACATCAACAGACAGACCGACATGCTAAAATCGACCCAGAACGTGATTCTATGCATATTCTCAAAAGGAACCATGGGTCTATATCGTTTCCTTTTGCCTGTTACAAACATATGTACTAATACATAATACCTTGTACCAGAGTGTGGTGAAGGATATAAAAACCAAATCCAATCGAGCGATATGAAAGGATGTAGTTACGTCAAATTGTGTTCATATCCTATTTGAGATAATTGGATTATATGTGTGCCCCAGGGTTATGTTTTTATGTTTGGTTGATTTTTTCTCAGAAACGATTTAATATGGCAGGAATGAATGAGCTTTTATCTATCATTATATCTAACGATACTTCCATATATCATTTTTGCAACCACTCCCACAAAAGTTTAACTTTTGAAAAATTCATTAGATTCTTTACTATTACTATATAAAGTTGTATGTCGTCCCTTGTTGTTGTAGCATAACTACTGTCCGTCCGATATAGATCGAAAATTGCCAATATAGGTAAATTTTTTAAATTTATTTCAACATATGCGAACATGGTTATGTTCAAAGCCATTATCGGTTCCAGAAACCACAATACATCAACTACTCCAAAATCTTAATCATCAGTTTTTGTATTTTGATGGGCATTACAGCCGAAGTTGGTGTAATCGAGTTTGGAGTTCTCGGTTAGTACGTCATCGCATAAAATTGTAAAATATGCTCCATGTTTTGACACAGCTCTCAGATCCTATTAATTTTTGAGATTTTTATGGCATCAAAATTCTCTTTGACAAAAATTTAAATTTGCATTTACACGATTAATAGATATTTAAATTAACACCTTGGAAATTATCTTTGTTATGGTTTTTTATTTAAAATAATTTAGGAAATGTATAAAATATTGGCTTTTGATAATAATAAACTTATGCTACAATATCTACTGGTAGTACAATTCCAAGTTCATGCCATCATGGATTTCATCTGCAAATAAGAAAAAAAATGAAAGGTAATTAGTTATGTAATTGTTTAATATTACAGATAATAGAAATTATATTATAACATATTTAGAAATGTACAATTTAAGGTCCGTTCGCAGATCATTTTGAAAATGTTTACATGCTGATTTCCATATTATCCAATTTGTGTGCCTCAAAATTTATTAGGTAAGCAAGCTTATATTAGAATATTTGTTTTAAAACCCAAATAATAAAATATGAATATCATTGGAAATCATTTAATTCCTTTTATGGACAAATTTCCACATCTGATAAATACAGATTCTTCTCTTAATTTGAACAAATATTAAAAGCCTTGAGGTTCTCCTGTGTATAGATTCCAAAATCCGTATAGACGACATCTTAATACATTGACGAACTTCCATAATTCGAACCACCATTATTCCGCAAAAAATGTTTACTTATGCTGACTTCGATTTATGCATTTTATAACAATTCGTCCACTTGGTGCTACTATCACTACAAGCGCTTCGGCTTAATGTAATTTCGATTTATGTAAGTTTAATTGTTTATACTTCCGGAGAAACATGCATTCAATGCTTGCCGAAGACTGGCACTTTGTAAAGATTTTTAATTTAAGAGAATATTTTGTTCCCGAAACCGAATCTTCCGGACCGTGGAGTGGAATTCTGTTGTGGGGTTCATTGAAGTTTATATCTCGGAGAGTACGAACTTATTCATAACAAAAAAATATTACTGTAATTAGACTACCAAGGGCTTCCAAATACTCATAATGTTATAGCAGATCAGAACGCAATTTTTGTTTAAGGGTTACCTTAAACGGTCTGCGTTGGAAGAAGCTGGCGTTTTAAAATATTTATAAATACAATTTAAATTTTTACTTACAATCTGATAGCTTAATGCTGTCCTTGTAAATTGTATACCACTTCTTAAGGACAATTTTATCATATTTGGTACCGGTTTGAGCTGCTATCAATTTCTTCAGGTCGCCAATTGTATCGTCGGGATTGCATTTCACGCGGACCTAAAAGTAAACACACACAGTTACAACCTTCAAGTATTAAAAATTATATACCAATAGCCTACCTTCTTGCCCAAACGATCATTGCAAGTAATTTCAATCATTGTAAAATAAGTTTTTCAATTTATTCCTTGTTAAAATACCATTAAAATTTCTAGAAATTCTTGGGTCACCACCGCTACTACAAACGTTTTGCCAATAACACACAATGTTTATGTTATCGATTATTCTATATATAGCTGAGATATCAACAGCTGGCACAATTGACAATTAGTGTTGGTAAGCGATTCAATTACCTTGTATTAAAGCATACATTTTAATCAACAGTGTAGTAATCGAAGAGCAAATTGTTTACATGTCATTTTTGTGTGGAAATAAATAAGAAATAAAATATAATAATAAATCTTCGCATAAAAATTAAATAATTGTTGTGATTTGTGTTATCACCATGTCCATGCTGCCGTTTTTCCCTTCTCTCCGGCCACCAATTGCCAATCGTATATGGTTCGATAGTGTGGCAAATGAAGAGGCTGAAGTTTTGAAATATGAAAGAGAACATCATAGCTGGGTAAGTTTTTCCTGGAATTTGAATTGTGGCACAACCCCAATGAAAATGTCTGGGATTATAGAAATATGTTTTACCAAGAATAATTATTGGACTATTATAGAGGAAGCAGAATTAAGGGCATATAACTTTGTAGGTAATGGATACTTCAGTCCTGCCATATGCTATCAAAGATTACGCTAAACCTGACCTTGGCAATTCGAATGCAAGACGGTATGCGGTTTTTGATAGGGTAAATTTTAATCATCGTTACTATTGAACAATAAATTTCACTGCAAAAATCCAAATGCCCGATGTATTAAGGCAGGACCAGGATCCTGCATGTGGTATATCCCCGAGATGTTCTTAGAATGAATTTTCCGTGATGGAGTATAGAGTGGGTAATAGACGTCCATTTCTGATATATACCACACATCACACAAGTCCTTCCGAATTCTGTTCGATCGTCTATGCAATCGGACAGATTGCGGAAATTCATTTTTCTTGAGATATGGATATCGATTTGAATCGGTTGAAGTGCTGATGGCAAAAATGTAATTGTTTGGTCGAAGTTTTGTAATGGAGATCCTGTCTCGTAGCCGATGTTGTCATCTTTTGCCATCCTCAAGTACTGGTCGAAATTATGATCCGAATTGGATGAATTTCGGCACAGCTCATTTATTTGGCCCAAGGACGTAGCCTATTGAAAAATCGGTTTAGATTTAGTTATAGCTCCCATATATATTTTTGTCCGATTTAATGTAAATGGTACACCAAAGTCCACATATTTCTTTCGATTTGAACGAATTTTAGCATAGCGTACTGAATTAAGTCTGGAATGATGTGCGTTAAGTTTCGTGAAAATCGGTTCAGATTTAGATATAGCTCCCATATATATATTCTTTCGATTTAATAGAATGGTGTAGGAATGCCCCTATACATGACGGAATTTGGCATAGCGTACTGAATTGAGTTTAGAATGATGTGTGCTAAGTTTCCTGAAAATCGATTCATATTTACATTTTGCTCCCACATATAAAGTCCTAAATTTTTTAATTTATTTTTAGTTGGATGCCATGAAAAATGCCGCCGTCGACATTCATCCGTTGGGTAAAGTTCTAACAATGCCAGGTCTGGAAACAGATGATGAAGATGGTGAGTAAATAATGTAAATTACAGTAAATTATGTCATAAATATTTTCGTTTATATTTTTTATTCTTTAGCTAACGATGACAGTGACGATTCTGAGGATACTAACGAAGATGATGATACTAATGATCGTGCTTTTGGTATACCGGAACGATCAGCTCTTGGTGGTCTTTATTCGCCCGGCGAAGAAATGAATCTGAACAATGATGAAGTGCCGCAAAATGCTGGCAATGGATCTCAATGAAGAAACAATTTATTTAAAACTACTAATTTTAATGTTTAGTTTTTAATTTCAAAAATCTTTTATTTTTTTAATCTTGTATTTAAATGTTTGAGTAATAAAGTAAAAGCGACTGCAATTATTTTCTTTTCAATTGATACCCTGGTTATAGGTATCAAAATTACAAGTGATTTTCTTAATAGAAAAAATTATATTCAGCTTGGTTTGGTTTTTTTTATAGAAAAAACACAATTAGAACAAGTTTTTGCAATGAAAAACCAAATTCAGCAATGGTATGTTATAGAAAACTCAATCCAACTGTGGCTCCATAAATTAAACTCTATAAAGGCAAGCTTTCAGATAGAAAAAGTGAATTCAGCTAGTTTTTTTTTGAGAAAAAAGTAATTCAGCTAGATTATCTTATATAAAAACATAATTCAGCTAGGTGGTTTCATAAAAAATCTCAACTCAGCTACAGTTTCTTAATGAAAAACTTAAACTAAACTCTATAAAGCCAGGCTTCCAACTAAAAAATCTCAATTCAGCTATGTTTTCCTATAGAAAAACTTAATTAAGATAAGTTTTTTCCAATCTAAAACTCAATTCAGCTAGGTTATCTTAAGAAAAAAGTAATTCAGATTGATTTTCTTAAGAAAAAAGTGAAATCAGCTATGTTTTCTTAAGAAAAAAATTAATTCATCAAGGGTTTCTTTTAGAAAAACATAATTCAGCTAGGTTGTTTCATAAAAAACTCAATTCGGCTAGAGCTTATGAAGGAAAAACACAATAAAGTAGGGACTTAATAAAGAAAAACTCTATACAGCTTGGGTTTCTTAAAAAAAAACTCAATTCAGCTGTAGTTTTATAAAGAATGCTCAATAAAGCAGATTTTTCATATAGAAAAACTAAATTAAAACAAGTTTTTGCAAAGAAAACATAAATTCAGCTCGGTTATCTTATAGAAAAAAAAAACTCATAGCAACTGTGGTTTCTTAAACACTATAAAGCCAAGCTTTCAAATAGAAAAGACACAGGTTTTTAGCTAGTTTTCTTACAGAACAACGCATTTCAGCTAGGTCGTTTCATAAAAAGTCAATTCAGCCAGGTTTTCTTAAGAAAAATATTAATTCATCTTGGTTTTATTTTAGAAAAACACAATTCAGCTAGGTTGTTTCATAAAACACTCAATTCAGCTAGGGTTTCTTAGAGAAAAACTCAATAACGTAGGGATTTAATAAAGAAAAACTCCATTCAGCTCGGATTTCTTCAAGAAAAACTGAATTCAGCTGTGGTTTCATAAATTAAACTTTATAAGGTCAAGTTTTTCAAAGAAAAACTGAATTCAGCTAAGTTTTCTTAAGAAAATATTAATTCAGCTTTGTTCTCTTACAGAAAAACACAATTCAGCTAGGTTATTTCATAAAAACCTGAATTCAGCTACAGTTTCTTAAAGAAATACTTAATACTGCTTGGATTTCTTTGAAAAAAAAAAAAAACTATAAAGTAAGGCTTCAATAAAGAAAACTCGGTTCAGATGGGCTTTATTATAGAAAATGTCAATTCAGCTAAATTCAGCTTGGGTTTTTATGGAAAACCCTTATTTAATTAGTTTTTTATGGAAATATCCAATCCAGCTGTATAGCGCTATACAGAGAAACACGGTAGGGAACTCTTCGATCAAGTGGACAGACTTGTACCGGAAGAGCAAAGTGGGGATATACTTCCGAAGGAACTGTTACGAATTCTAACCATAACTGATCATGAACTGGACACCACGGTGATTCCGGTCAAGTCTTCGATGTTCCGACTCAAAGGTCAAACATTTCCCCCCTTTTGATAATCTTAGCATACCGGGATAAGGATACCAGACACATCAAAGCCCATCCTACCCATAGACAAAACATAGGCAAATATAATCTAAAGCAAATCTTCTTGCCTAACCGGGTGATAAACAACCATAAGTGCCAAAATATAGCACATTTGGAATGAGTATTCTCTTTCAAAACTTCAAAACAACTGTTCTAACTTCGACGACAATTGCCAAAGGATAGCCCCCACCTTAAGGGACAGAAAAAAAATAAAAAAATCAGGATAATTATTTTTAAAATTTTTATTTATTTATTTGTTTCTTAAATTTGTAATTTTAATAAATCATATATATTATATACTAAAGTTAAGAGGAGAAATTATTTTCAACTGCCTGTTTTTTTAATTTTTTGCATAATCTCTAAAACTATGATTTGCAAAAATGAAATAATAGTAGAAATAAAATTCAAAAAAAGAATTTACCTCGGATATATATTTTTTGTGATTTATGATTTGCTGTAGATTGCTGTTGTTCTTGTGGTTGAAGGATATTTGTTGGATTTGGTAATTGGAACAGATGATGTTTTGGTTGATTTCTCTGGGACACATATCTACATTCAATTAATAAAAAAAGCCGCCTTACGAATAGACAACATTATTACAAAATAAAAGGAAAATTAAAAAAAAATGTGAGGGGGTTGCTTGGGATGGTAAATAAAATAGTAAAACAAAATATGAATTATACGTCCGTGTACATCATCATATTATGTGATACACAACATGTACAAAAATCATATTAAATTATACAATTGGGAGGGAGATTATTTTCTCAAAATGAAAATAAGATTTGCGTGGGGTGGAATTTTTTATGTTTTCATTAACATAAAGAATAATAAATGAGGATGTTCATCATCCTCTTTCATGTGTGTGTGGTGTTTGGTGGGAGAAAAGGTTTTTGAGTGGGGGAATATTTTTTCCGATTCCTTAATATTGTTGTTCTCTTTTTATCTTTTTTGTGTTGGTTTCACTTAAACAAGTAATGTAATTTTGTTTGTTGTTGTAGTTAAAAATCAATATACACATTTTTGTTGTTTCAAACTTTAATGGCGATCACGGGAATCCGATCTGCTGCGTCTGTCACGTGAAAAACTGCGTGAACGGCTGCGGGTCCTTCTGGGCGAACGAGATCTAGAAAAAGATTTATGGAAGAGAGGGGGAAAAAGAAACAGGAAGATATTTACGATAAATATGTGTTATAACAACCAAATTACTACAATTATTTTGAATACAGAACTGAACTGAAAATATTACATATTGCTACACGTATTCTTTTTTTCTGTTTTCTTTTGCATAAATCACACTGTGCAACAATTTGTTTTCTTTTGGAGTAGAGATGATTTTTTTTTCAGGGCTTTTAAATTTCATACTGTTGTTATTGTTGCATAGTGTCAATTTGTCATGAAGCAAAAAAGAAATTAAAAAAATAAACAAAAACACAAACAAAAATATTTCTAACATAGTATAGTTATAAAAAACGATCACTTTTCATCAGATGTTTACTATTTAAAAAAATAATAACAATAAAAACAAACCACAATATGTTGCACTTATTATTGGGCTGATTACTTTTGTTGCTGATTGAGATTTGAGATCTATTGTATGGCTGAGGAGGTTGATTGGTTGTTTGGTTGTTGTTGATTGGCTTGTTAAAAATGATTGTTGAAATTTTGAATAGTTGTGGGCAGTGAGAAATTATAATTTTTTGGATTTGCTCTAACCATGATGAAGCCGAATTTTGCAAAATATTCGTTTTTTGGGGGTCTTGTTGTTGGTCAGTTGATTGAGAAACGATTGTTGACTGATAGGTGGTGGTGGTGTTTGTTTTTTTTTTTGGTTGGTTGGCTGATTGATTAAAAGATGATTGTTGTTGTTGTTGGTACTCTAAGAGTTTAGGAGACTAAAATTATATAAATGATGGCACACGCTTCTGAGGAACAACGCCCGCCGACGATGACACTGACTGACTGACTGAAAACTTTAACATCATCATGACGCAGATTCATAACTTTTGCTGTTGCAGATTTGCAGATTTATGATGGCTAGGATGTAAATGTAGCTGATGTTTTTAGTAGTGCAATATATTCTACATAATACAATGATGGCCTGGAAGAAGATGCTGCTCTATGTTGGTAGTTGCTGAGATTACAAAATACGAAAACAACAAAGAAAGAGGCTGTTGCATTCTAAAAAAAATACATATTACATGGACAACTTTAAGAAAAAAAATATTTGAAATAGTATTGATGAAGGCAGGCACAGCATTGTTGTTGTCGATGGTGATGGTGGTGTTGGGCGATACAAGGTTATTATGAGGGAGGTTTTGTCTGTTGATGGTCACGAGCGCGTTTTGGTCGATGGTCCGTGGATTTCAATTCCAATTCTCATATAAAACATTACGGTTGTTGGTTCGCCGTTGACTAATCCGCAACAATCAAAACCCCAAATTGCTGATTGACGGCATTTTCCCCCCGCGCAAGAAGTTTGCTGTTGTTCCTGTTTGAGGATGACGACGACGACGAGGAGAAGGAAGAGTTGGAGCTGTTTCATAACTCAAAGTTGAGGAGAATTGGTGGTTCGCTCATTTGAAAAAATAGAAAAAAGTTAAAGATTGATTAAACGTCACTACTACTACTAAAAAATACATCTTTTTATTGAAAAACAAAGAGTATTTTCCAGAGCATTGTAAAAAAACGTTCGTTTCGAGAAAACAAATGTAGTAAAAAAAACACATCATACTATACCCATATATATTTCTCACTGTTGAAATTCTATTTTTTGTTTGTGATGATGTTCGATGTGAAGAAACGTCAATGATGTTGTTTGTTGTTGCTGTTGTTCTTTATTGTTGTGGATGATGGACCAACCAAAATATAGTCTCTCTCTCTATTTGCCGATATCGATTTTAAAGTTGCTGATCTGCAATGCTATTTGCCGTTTAAAACCTATGATGATGTTGGCTCCCACATATTTTGCTAACCAATAAGTTTGAAACTTTTTTCAAGTATGCAATGCTCCCCATGGTTCCTAGTTGTTAATATAATTTTCCCAATATGGAAATTTTCATTACCTAACAATTTTGCTGACTTTGAGACTTGAGTCTCCTCAAAAAATCTTTAAACTTTTTTAATGGTACACATCATATCGAAATCAGTTCCATTTTGTGTTTTTAGAAAGTTTAGTCCCCTCACAGTATACAGTCTGTTTTACCATCACTTTCCCAGTTAAGGCTGTGGAAGGTGAATCAGCTGAGTTCTCACTGTGTGTTGTGTTCTGCAGTGACCTTCTTTCAAAACCTTTTCCCCCTAGTGTCGATATTGAGATGATCTTTAATTTTAAAATCTACCGAGGCGCTAGATATCGAAACGAAAGATCTCGATAGTACCCATGTGTTGCTGTTGTGTTCTCTTTGTTATCATTGGAATAGATAGACCCCTTGTGACAGTTATCACACTTTCTTATTTTTGAAAAACGTCCAAAAAATATTTTTGCCAATTTAACACTCTCTTTTCTACATCGTCGAATGCGTTCTTTGAGAATTATTTCCCTAATAGCTTTTGAAATTATTGTCATCATTATTATAATTGTTATCAGCAAAAACAAAAATTTTCATGTTCTTGTTCTTTTTGTTGAGATGATGAATTTGTGGGTGGAGGATTGTGGTGGTGGTGGTTAGTTGTTCTTGTGATTGTTGGTTGATCGTTGAAGGAGAAGTTAACGCCGCTGCTACATTTTTTAAATTCGACCTGTTGGTGTAGAAATATTGCTCGGAAAGAGACAAGAAAATAGAATTTAGAAAACAAACAATAACCATCATAATAATGTTTTGCAGCTACATTGAACTGATGAATTACCAGTAATTGTACAAAATGCACTGCAGTATGTGGCGTTGCAGCAAGAAGTTTGTTACTTTTTTTTTGAAGAATCCATCAAATGGAATATTCGATCAAAGCTGCAGGAGAACTAGGTTCATCAACAAACTGATTTTTTTGGTTGGTAGTTGTGGTGGTGGTATTAAGTTGGTGGTTGTGGTGATAGTGGTGGTGGTAAGTTTGGAGATTGTGGTGTTAATATATCTTTTACTACTGTCAAATAAGGGGACGAATTGAAATAAAGTTGATATTTTTGGCTGGGATTTAAGCACTGAGGAGGAGATTGTCGTTGGGCAATACTGTTTTCTTGATGGTGACTGTTGTGATGTTTGATTTTTTTTAGTAGTTGAACAAGAAGTAGTAGTAGTTGCTGTGGTGTTGTTGGTAATGGTGCTAAGGATGATGACGACGACCACGACGAAGAGGAAGACGACGATGCCTTTGCAGCAGAAGTAGTAGAAACATTGTTGCAATTTCTGGTCGTTGTTGTTGTTCTTGTTGCTGTGGTTGATGATGTAGAAGAAGAAGTGGTAGTAGTAGTAGTAGTAGCAGTATTGGAAGAACATACTTTTGCTTTTGTCATCAATGTTGAAGAAGGAGGCATTGACGCTGTTGAAGACGCCACTAGTATAATAGTAGTACAACAAATTCGTTGTGGAAGATGACTACTACAACAACGGCAGAGATGTTTATGGTAGTGGTGGTGTTGCTGTTGATTGTGGTGGTTGTGGTGGTAGTGATTATTTGATTGGTGGTGATGGTTGAGATTTTTTTGATGAATTTGTTTACAAACGACGACGACTACGACAACAACAACTACTGCAAGTAAACAACTCAGCGTCAGTGGAAGTGGTGGTGGTGCTTGTCTTATATCTGTCGGTTGTATGTTGCTGTATGATGTCAAATAAATTCGTTCAAGTTTGTTAAGTAAGTCGACTGTCCGAAATGTGTTGTTTTGGTTTGTAAAATAGTTTTCTGTACGAGTTTTCCTAATGATGAAGTAGTAGTGTAATGTTGCTGTTGTTGTTTTTGGTGATGGAGCTGTTGTTATTGGTGGTGTTGTTGCTGTTTTAATTGAAATGTCCCTTCTTGTGTTGTTGTTTTCGTTGTTGCTGAAGTCGCTGTAGTCGTTGTTGTTGTTGAAGTTGTTGTTGGTTGATATTTTGTAGTAGAAATTGGAAGAGGAGTAGTTGGTGGTAGTAGTAGTAGTAATAGATGTACTTGAGGTACAACAAATAGTGGAGGTAGTAGTAGTAGCTGAAGCAGAAGTCGACTTTATATTCCTGTAAAAATGAGGAGCGTATACCACGTTTAAAAATTTTATAACAAAAATAATTAACTAAGAATATTAAAAAAAAACTTTGTTTTCTATATGTGAACAAACAAATATATAGACAAGGGGGGTAATGTGAGTAAATAAAAAAACGACAAATATTTTCATGGAATTACAATATCCGAGAAGAAGGGGTAAGACGCATTCATCATAGTAGACGTGTAGAAAACGTTAACATACACAGATACGTAACACAAACAACGAGCCATTTTGGTTAGAAAAAAATAAATAAATGAAATACTTTGTGTTTCACACTCATTGCCAAAAAACGAAAAAACAAATTAATTTTTGGCATATGGTACTTTTATAACGTCGTCGATACAGTCATACTTATTACATATTTTATTATTAATGGGCACAGAGAGCGGTAGTGATAAAAGAAAAAAACATGCAAATGACATGAATAATAAATTATACAAAATAATAAGCACAAGTTTCTATGCGCATTGTTGCAGATTCTTTGCAAATAAAAACTTGTAAATAAATGAAAGATTTTCCTTTTTTTCAAATAATTTAGTAAATTTGTGTTTTTTCACATTGTATAAGACAAGTATTATTCAAGGATAGCAAATTCTGCGCATGGTCAGATCAATCAGACGAACTATTTTTTTTTTATTTGCAGGTACAATCATTTTTTCTGGAATAAACATCTTGACCTTTAAATGCTTATTATTTCGCATAAATGTAAAACAAATAAATATGTAAAAATATTCGTTAAAATGGAAGACACGATATTTTTGGTGCACATAGAGATATGGGCTTTATGAAAGTGGCACGTAGACTTTTATGCACTTTAATTTTTAAAATTTTTAATGAAAATATTACTTCTTAAGTATTAGACCCATATCTTTTGAAATAATTACATAGAATATACACATAAAATATTTTCATTTGATATTTTATGTTATTGACAAGTTTAGAAGAAACTTACCTGTAACGAGCACTGCCGCCACCTGCACTACGGCCACTGACTGATTCGCTAGCACCGCCCCGGCCTCCACCTCCGCCGCTGTTTCCACCACGACGTCTACTGTCACGGCGTGAACGACCAGAGGACATTTCAACACGAATGCGGGTACCACAGCAGCGACTATATATAAAATGGAAAAAATGCAGTGACACAATTACTTAGATGACCCAAATAGTACCACTTAACCACTTACGTTCCATCTAAAGCACGGGTTGCATCTTCAGCATCTCGTCTGTCTTCAAATTCAACGAAGGCAAAACCTGGTGGGTTACGTGCCACCCAAACATTACGCAGTGGGCCGTATTTGCTAAATGCGTTTTCGATTTCATATTTCGATGCTGATGAGCCCAAATTGCCCACATAGACTTTGCATGCCAAATCCCATTCACGATAGCGGGGCATATTTATAATTATTATTTATAACTAGAAAGAAAATTAAAAAATAATTATTAAAGAAAAAATTAAATAATATGTATCTAGCTTTTACGTATTAAGTTTTCTTGAAGGCTAAAAACGCGCACACACACGAACACACATGTGTATGCTACAGAGACAGAAACATGTTAAAACAAGATGGCGACCATCTTGTCAATTCAGTATACCAAAGATTTTCCCCCAAAGATTTCTCAGTCTGCATAATTGCAACTTTTTTTGCCATCAGATTACACTAAAAATCATGTAATTTGTTTGTTTTCATGCTTACCTTATTTTATATTTGTAAATTTATACAATTTTTTTAATTGTAATATTTTTTTATTCCTTATAATACACTTTCCGCTTAATAGCGACACACTTTCGAGAACACACCTTTTCACCAAGAATTATTTTTCATAAATGACATAAATGAAATAGAGTTGTACAGTTCACGAACGAACTAGTTCAAATGAACGATTCACTTAAAAGACCGATTGAACTAGGTCTTACAAATTCGTTCTTTTTAGTTCATTAAAAGAACGAACTGGAATAATCGTTCCTTTTAGTTCAAATGTGAGCGTTTTACTGACCTAGTTCGATTTGGTCTAAATGATTGACAGTTTTTATCGCTTACTGACTCTCTAAAAACCGTGAATATTTTTGTGGTTGCCTTATAAATGACCAAAAATGAGAGGCCACACTATCAAACAAGCCAAATTTGGGCAAGAGTGTCATTCAAAAAGGGCTAGTGTGTACACCGCTTTAACCACATTTGGTCTGTTCCTGTACAGGAAGAATCTACGAGTTTTTACTATTTTTTCGATATCATAAATAATAATTTATCGTTATCTTTTCCTTTTGGTTGTTGTATATTCGATAACACATAAAGCGACGGATGGTTTAACGGATCCATTCTGCTGCCTTAAGCGGTGTACACACTAACACTTTTGAATGACAATCTTGCCCAAATTTTGCTTGTTTGAAAGTGTAGGCTCTCATTTTTGTCATTCAAAAATATTCATGGTTGTTGGACAGTCAGTAATCGATAAAAACGCCGTCACTCAAAAAAGCTTGTTACACCGCTTTAAGGGCTAAACAGAATGTTCGCGTTGAGCGTTTTTTGTTATCGCGTTAACGCACGCAAAAAGTTAAAATATATTTAACTCAACTTCGAGCGTTTGTGTTATCGTTTCCTTGTGGTTGTTGTATTTTCGATAACACTTAACGCAACGGATGGCTCAACGCGAGCATTCTGCTGAGGCCTTTAAGAAGAAACAATAATTGTGCGGCGACTTAACCATGGTACAATTTTTGGTCACTTCTATAATTTAGATTTGGGAACCGAGCATATACGTCAACAAATAGTGGTGTACACACTACGAGTTATCATCCATGTGCATTCAAAAATGTTGAATCAGTTGGGATATGATAAGGTACGTTTAAATCTACGAAATTCACTCGATCTCAAATGTCAATTCCATACCGTATACGTCAAATATAATCCACTGGATTTGTGAACAGGATTAACGTGACGTATATGCAATGGATTTGACATTTGAGATCGAGTGGATTTAGTCGTCTAAACGTAACCATAGTCTTTGAGCGCGTTTAAACAACTAAATCCACTCGGTTTCAAATGTCAATTCCATGATTAAAGTTAGTGTATACGCCATCTTATACCATAGACAGACGACAGCCTTAATTTGGATTAAAAATTTCTTAATTTGAATTAATATTTACCCCTGACAGACGAGAGTTTCTTATTTTTATTTTCATAAACATAAACAAATTTGACAAGAAACAATTAATTTTCGACAGCATTGCCATATTGAAATTGCCTAATTCAGTATAAATTCAGTTCGATTTTGTGCATTAACAACACATAAAAATGAGGATAATGTACAAGTTAATTTGAATTAAGGCTGTTAATGCAAATTAAGGCTGTCGTCTGTCTAGGCTATTAATCATGTTCACAAAAGGAATTGGCATTTGAGCTCGAGTGGATTTGGTACATCTAAACGTATGGGAATTTTTTTACAATTAATGTTTTCTTTTCAGATACAAAAAATGGGCTGTTCCCGCACTGCAAAAATCTACTCGATTTTACTATTTTCTTTGATATAATTGGTCTGTTCCCGTATTGCAAGAATATACTAATTTTTACTACGATAACGAATTTTTCTTTATGATATCGGAAAAAAAGTAAAATTTAGTAGATTTTTGCAGTACGGGAACAGACCAAATAAAGGAAAAAGTAGTGGATTCTTGCAGTGTGGGGAAAAAATATGTCTATTCGATTTAAAAACGAAGTTGATACTCATCGGAAAAAAAATAAAATTTGGGTCAAATCGGATATTCCATTCGCCTAAGATGGGATTTATATAAAAATTAAATTAAATTTTGAACCCTTTGTTGGTCTAAATTTTTTCCAACAATATACAGGCATTTTTAAAATATTTGGTTGCGCAAATTTTTGTGTTCGAATTGGAACGAAAATCGGATGCGGACGGACTCTTGCTATTTTGACCATTTTGTGTGGGAGGTACCAGAAGATGTGGGTTAATAGGTCCCATTTTCTAATTCGATTTAGACTAAATAAAAATATCACGATGTGAAATGTGTAAATGAAATGTGGATATTTATTTCGCTTCATCATGGCAAAATAATAAATGTAGTCACTTTTCAAAAATTCAAGTACAAATATGCGCCTTCAGCTGGTCCATAAAGACCATCTTCAGCCGGTCAATAAAGACCATCTTCCGCTGGTCTATAAAGACCATAAATACTTCTTTTAAATTGTATATAGAAAGCCGCCAGTTCTCCTAAAAGAAAACCGCCTGATCTGGAGACCATGGAAATTCAGCTGAAAGAATATAATATTTTTAGAAGTTTTTCAAGTCTTTACTTTTAAACCATTCCTGTACTCATAAAAATAGTACAAATATCAAGCAATTTTAAGAGACCACAGGCCAAACTGACATTCCTTTTATAAACATTTTCCTCCAGAAATTTGGCCGAGTAAAAATGACAATCAGGAATGCCAACTTCTGATGGGGCCAATTGGGTTATTAAAAAAAAAAAACAATAGGGTGGCTACAACAACAATTTCTGATTGACTGTTGTGTTGATAAGTCTGCTTTTCCACAGGCAGATTTTTATTTGGCAAATTTTTTGTTTTCTCTTTTGAAATTTTCGCTTGCTTTTCCATTACCAAATTTTTCCTTCCCAAATTTGCCAATCAAAATACAAAAGAAAGAAAATGTCAAAAGTGTTTGCATTTTAAAGATTTTTTTTAATATTTTATTTATTTTTTATATATTTTATTATATAAATTGCAAAAATTAAAAATTAAATTTCATTTGCACAAATGTGTGTGTCAGTAAAGCGAATAGGTTCAAAAGGAAATGTCAACAAAATTGTTTTCAACGAACAGAGCAAAGCAGAATTTGCGTGTACGGCAAATTCGGAACAGGCAAATTTTTGTTTTTCTTCCTCGCACCCCTCTCGCCCACAAACTCAGTATTTGCCAAATAAAAATTTGCCTGCGGAAAAGCAGACTAATGAATCATTATTTGATTTACTATTAAAAAAGTACGGGAACAGAACAGCTACACACATCTTAATTTAAGTTGCACCCTCCCCCCCATTACTTGTCTTCACACACACTGTCAAATGAGATATGGCAATATTACATGTCTCTTGGAATATTCATTGCCGCTCATTACTCTGGCAACTCGGTGTCGCTCGTCATTATTTTGTCTTGTCTTTCTGGTCCGTGTTTTACGTGGATATTTCTGTCGTTTTCTTTTTTAAGTTTTATTAGGAAAGGAATAGTTTTGACTTTTTCCCGTAATTTTATGAAACATAAAGTGACAAGGGTTAAAGTTCAAACAACAATATTTCCAATACAACCAAAATACACCGGGGAATACACACTCCATATTGATACACAAGCGAAAGTTCCACACAATTGAATTAGACTGACCAGTTAGTAGAAATTATCCAGGCAGGATTGTTGATCGGTATTAAGAGTTTAAAAGGAAAATAAAAATACAACAACAACAATGAACATCCCCAACGAATATATTGCAAAAACAGAGGATGTGGCGGATCAGGTAAGGAATTCATAAAATAATAATAATAAGGATTTCAGATTGGAACAATAACATACGTTGACAAAAAAAAAAAAAAACAGTGGTCATTTGTTTGACAATATTCGCTCTCTTACGTTTTTGAATATGGCATATGATGAAGGCGGCGATTAAGAGAACGATTTAAGGGAGCCATGACATATTGGCGAGCTGAAGTAAATACGAACGAACGAAAAAAACTGTCAACGTCATCCATTGGAAGGCACACGACAGCGACACATTAGTGGCTTTTGAATTTTATGTTAATTTGAAGATAATCGGAAAACAACTTCGTTGGCAAAACCAAGATATAAGTACTTCGGTTGTTCCAAAAATAATTATAGAGCAGTATAGAAGTTTTGATATATGTCGTAATTATTTCTTTTCATTAGTACTTTCTCCTTCCATGCAACAAGATGTGATATCTGAATAGTGTATTTTTTGTTGTTATTATATTTGTTGTTGTTTATCCAAAGTTCCCAATACAATCCCTATTCATTCCATAGAATAATATTGTGTGCATATCGCAACGGTAATCTCTTTCTATTTTGGAACCAAGATCCATGTATGTATATTCAAATGCACAGCACAACAACAACAAATGTACATACTTTTCTCTGACGTTTATTGTTTGTTGTTGGTTTTTTATTTATGTTGTTGCGTATTGGAAATTCCTCATTACCCCCTCCCCTCCCTAATACGAGACCAATTGTTGCTTAAACATATTTTTTGTGGGTCCGTATTTTTTGTTGTTTTTGTATTTCTATGTCACTATTATTACCTAACTGTAACAAGTGAAATTAAAACTGTTGATCAATTATCTTTTTTTGTCTTCACTTTCGATTCGTCGGTGTCTAAATTGTT